CCGGCAGGCCACCTTCTGTGGCTGGCAGGCCCTTTACTGGCCACTTGTGCAAAATCTAGCAGTGTACTTTTAAGGAAGAACAGAGTTGGTCAGGAGGTGGAAATTAGTGCAAGTGTTCTACTGCACAACGGAGGCATTTGGCAACAGAAACAGTGGTTTTTTCGGGTGGAAAATCTGTGCATGCCTAAGCATTCCTCATTTCTCCATATGGAGTAATTAGAATAGCTAACTTAGCACTCTTTTCATGTTGTATTCATGTAAATAGTTAGTTCAATTAGTTAGTTAATTTATTGTAATAATTAGTTAGCTAGAATAGTTAATTAATTTGTTGTAATAATTAGTTAAGTAGCTTAGCTAATTTATTTATTGGGTTTGTAATAGTTAGTTAATTAGCTTTGCTTTAGCTAGCTAGTTAGTTTATTCATTTGGACCCTCCTTTGTGAGGGCCCAAATGTTGTAATAACATGTATGTCTTCCAACCCCACGTCTTTCTCCCTTTTATTTACTAGCTTATGATGGTTAATTTAGAGCATCATGTTTCGTTTAGCATTCTCCATGTTTGCATCCACTTCTATTGCATGCACTGAGGCTCGATTTATCATTCTAACTTGCATCGTCATTTTAAATACTTCTTTAAATACGTGCTTAGACCGCATGCTATCAAATTGATTCATTGCCACATTATTAGCCGAGCCTAGTAAATTACAGATCGCATGTGTTGCATTAGTCATATCGCATAGTTAGGAATCATGCATTTTTCTAACTAGTTTCTCTTTTGGCTTGGAGTACTAGATGAGCCTTTACTCGCTTTTAGCATATTGCATTTGTATGTTAGTGTTGCCATATCTAGCATGCTTGCCACGAGGCTAATTGATTAAATGCTATAATTGCTTGAATGCCTATGGACGAAGGCTAATTGCTTGAATTGGAATAATTTGAGTAATGTTCATATGCGATCACTTTTTCAAGTGGTACATATTCAAAATTCTTTTCAAAAAAAATAAACATGAGTTGAAATGTTCCAATTCTTGCAATTTAGTCTATACTTGTGTGTGTGCGCATCACATAGTAATACTAGCCTAATAATTGGAAAAAGAGCATATAATGTAAATAAGATTCATATCACGATTAGTAGAGGCCAATCTTTGATCGAGCGAGCAAGGGTGTTCAATTCGTGACCTTCCCCACTCATACTCGAGTTCCCGAGCCGAGACAATCTTGTTGATGACAGACACGTGGCCTTTGACACGAGTCATGGCTTTCCTAATTTTCAAAAAACATTTAGGTGGCGACTCTGTATCTGGCAAAGCAGTCTATTTTTGGCAATTTGATTCAAAATCAATTTTCCAAAAGATTTGTCAGATTTGGACTCTTTGGTGTTTATCTATTTCACATTTTACTTGTGAGATCAGATTTAGAACCGTGGGAGTCTGATACTGTAGGGCTATTCTCTTCTGAAATGGGACACGAAAAGTCGAGCCACAGGAAGCTACGACTGTTGTCTTTGATTTGAACTCGGAGGATAGATTTGCAGGCAGTTAAGATGGATATTATAGGATGTAATATAATGTAATATAGGAAACAAGCCTAGCCAAAGCTTAGGTTTCACTATTTAATAGGTTTGGTGAATTTAGTTGTACCAAATTATTTGTTTTGTACCTTGCTGTTGCTGGAGATTATTTTGTGTTGTATTCAATGCAAGTAAATGAGGTGCCAATGTCCTCTATTGTACTGTGATTACATTTGTTACAAGCAACATACCATGGATGTTGTGTTACTAGTTCTGCTGTTATTTTGCCTTTATTTCATATGTTGCCCTGTTTTGTAAGAGAATAGTATGTGAATGTAAGTATGTTTATATATATATATATATATATATATATATATATATATATATATATACTATTAGTACAGGTTAGATGTGAAGGCAGTAAAGTGAATATAATGTTTGTGATTTGTACCAGTCATGCAACGATTGTATTTCAGGCATGTTGGCATCGAAGATGAATTCAGTTGTTGGAGTAGTTGATAGAGAGCATCCTGTAATTGTAGTTTAAAGTGTAAGCATAATTTTATTCTTCTAGGTATTCGATGATGGAAAATATATGATAGTTATGTGGCATTTTCTGTTAGAGGAAACAGTATGTTTACCTACCATTGAATGTAGCTGCTCTGAGGTTTGTGGAAACAAATGTAGGTTTTTCAATAATGATGGAGCTTTTGTGTTCACATTCATTTGTGGTGAAGTCATCCCATGCTAAAAACTTCATAGGCTGATTGTTGTTGATAGAGACATTCGAAAGTGTGTTATTAATAAATTTGTGTACTTGTTAATTTGAACTTCGAAATATCTATTATGTTAATATAATATGTAGGATGTGCATGGAAATTGGTAGAGAACTAATGATTGATCGATGAGAAAGATTTCTCGAACTTTAGATGGTTGTCCATCAATTCGCTTTGTGATTGTTCTTGTCGGCAGAACATTAGTTACAATAGCAGCAATATCTGTTGGGCATGTAACATAAATGTGAATGGTAGGTAATTAAAAGCGTAATTGTGCTGCTATTAGTTGTGGTATACATATGAATTTAGCAAATTTGATATTTGTTGTAATGTAGTTGAATGCATCTGCTAGCTGGATGAAAAAGTATGTTTCTAATGCATTTGCTTCTTCTGTTGTTTTAGTTTCTTCAATTGATATATGAGATTTTAGCATGATTTGAATTGTGTTGTCAACGATTCTATTTCGAGGGTCAATGTATTTGATGATACCATTTGAAAGATAGTATGTCTTGTATACATTGAGTAGGCCATCATCAAAACACGTATCTTGAATTTGTGAGCCCTAATATAGTGTAATATTGGTTATAATGAGTAGTTGGCTTCTACATTTAGCGTGTGTGTGTGTGTGTGTGTGTGAGAGGTTTTTGTTTGTTGCTAAAAGTAGGATAATGCAATATGTTGTTAGTAGTGTATTCAATATACCTCACTATCTACTATGATGAATTGTTGGATAGTAGTTGCCCCAAGTTTGCTTGTACGAGGGGGTTGTTTTTCAATGACACGAAGTTTGGCTTTCCATCTGCGCGATTTGTCAGATAACTCACGAATCATTATAGGTTTCTCTTCCATTGTTCCTACAAATGCAAATATGGGTGTAAGTGAATCTGTGTGCATGTATACATGGATTTGCTACATATTGTGATATATAAGATTAATTTGATTGATTTGTTATTGAGTTTGGGTGCAAGTGTATATGGATTTGTTTATGTTGGAGGATATGTTGCATTTAGTGTGGATTGTCCAATTCTTGTAGAGTTTGTTGGGTTTACCTGTTATGTTTTTTTGATAAAATCTTTGTAGACAACATTTCGTGTCATGTTGGACATGTGTTTTGATTGTTTGGCCGGTTTTATGAGGATTTTTACAGCAGATGATCGTTGTGCTCTTAAAAGTGCGACGTATAATTGTCCATGGGAGAACACAGGTTGTGGAAGATAAATGCCAACTTGCTCTAAGGTTTGTCCTTGAGCCTTGTTAATGGTCACTGCAAAACAAGGTCGAATTGGAAATTGTTTGCGTTGAAATTGGAAAAGGTAGTTATCTGTTTTGGCTGGTTCAAGTGGAATCCTAGGGATCAAAACTGAATTTCCCTGATAATGGCCAGTTGCAATTTTAGTATGGATAACATTATTTTTTAGAGCTTTGCATATTAATCCCACATTGTTGCACATTCCTACAGCCAGGTTTATGTTTCTGAGAAGCATTATTGGGCAAGACTGTTTCAGTTGTAGTTGGTGGGGAGACATTCCATTTGGAATCAAGCTATGAAGGAATTCTTGTGGGTGGTTTTCTTGTTTGTCATTTGTCGTTTTGTCAAAGCTAGTGTATGTGTATGTACTTTCTGGGAATTTATCCATCAAGACTTTGTTGATTTCGTCTATGAATTCATTCTTAGGAGTCAAGATGGCTCAAGATGTCAAGTATTTTGATTTGAATACATTTTCAGTGAAATTTGGATAGATGTGTTCAACCAATGTTAATATTGGATTTGAGCCCTCTTTTGTGCTGATAGTCATGCATTCATGTATTGTGATTAAGTCCTCATCTATGTTGTTGTAAGTTCCATTGCTGACGTCTAATAAGAAATCAAAAAATTGAGGATCGTGTAATGCTCGCATGTTTTCTGTTTGACGAAGAATGTGAAGATGAGGCCAGAGTGTTGATTCAACCAAGCTGTTGTTTATGCATTCCTCGCGAGTGGATTGGGGACTAACAGGAAGAACTTGTCAGAAATCACCGCCAAATACTACAACTTTTCCAGCGAAGATGGTCTCATTTGAGCAAACATCACGTAACATTGCCTCGAAAGCTTCAATATTTTGTTTTTTTGCCATAGGCGCTTTATCCCAAATGATTAATTTCACTTTTCAAATAAGTGTGGCAATTGCACTTTGTTTCCCAACATTACAGCCAGTTGAAATGTTGATGTCTAAAGGTATTTTGAAGCGAGAATGTGCGGTGCGGCCGCCAGGTAGGTTAGCAGCAGCTATTCTCGTGCTAGCTGTTGTTATAGCTATAGATCCTTCTGAGCATATAACAGCAAGCAATCCACCTCCTAAGTATTGCTTTATGTGATGCATAATTAGATCGAAAGCAGTACGCTGTGCATTGTTTAGGAGTAGTTTCATATGTATGTCTTCTTCTGAAATTGGGATTTGTAGTTCAGCCTCAATTTCCTTGGTAGGTTTGTTTCGTATAATGGAAGCTTTATTGTATGTTGGAAGGTTGTAATCTGTAATTTTCTTGCCCATTGATTCGATGAAACTTGCAATATAGTCAAGCGTGATGTTTCGTACTTGTTCTGCTTTGAGTTGTAGATTTTGTCTATAGTCTTGTGATAGAGCATCATAAAATTTCTCCCACAATGATCTTGGATTGTTAGGTTCACAAAAAACTAATAGTGTTGTAAACAAACGCCTCAGCGCGAAAGGCATTTAGAAAACACTTGCTTCTACACGGCATTCTTCAGTAGCATTGTCTTTCTCAAGCAAGCATCGTTTTCCAGCAGCTTCTTTGAATGAGGAGCATATTTGCCCATCTATAGTATACAAGTTTATGAAACTTGTACCTCCTCTTATGTGTGTTATAAGTATACGTAGGAAGTATCGTTCTCCTTCCGAAGGGTTGGCCGATACAATTCTTCCAATTGTTCCACTTCTTTGACGTGGTTTCCAATATCGATCTTGAACATTCCAAACATAATTTTCAGGGAATTCAAAGTATACCCATTGCCTAGCAGATGTGTTTTCCTTGTTCGTTGCAAAATATTCAGTGAGCATAGTTCTAGAAGCACGCCCAGATTGTAGAGCACTTGGCAAATTATCTTCTTCCTTGAAATTTACAAGTTGCATGTTTGGCAAGTGTAAATGGAAAGCTAAAACTACTGGGGAAATATTGTTAAGTGTGAATTTGTAAATACGACATGCAGCTTCAAGTGGAGATATCCAACGAGCAGATTAGTATGCATTATTCTCATCAATAATTGAGTCGTTATCATTAGCAATGAAATGGAAAGAAACACGATCATGCCCTTTCTATACATATTTGTACAAATATTTTACAGCTTTGATTGTGGAGTAAATTTCAACATTCATGTGGCAATCGAACTTTGCAAGTAAGTACGAGTTATAAGGAACAACCCATCCCTTGTCTAGAAGGCTACTTTGAACATTCACACACTTGCCGTCGTTTCGACGCTTATAGATTGGGTAAGAGTTCTCACCACACTTGGTCACTTTTGAGAATTCTCGAGGGTATTTGTTCTTACATTCGCCTTTCTTGGTCATGCAAGGGTTTGTTTGCTTTAGAGCACCACAGGGGCCATGCATCATATGCTTGACAACTACCTTATACAAATGTGGGTTGTCATCTTTATTTGGTATCTCGGAAGAAATATATGTCTCATATTCTTCAGGGTGGATAATCTTTGCATGAGATTTCAAAACCAACAAGAAATAGACATGTGGAAGGCCATGCTTTTGATATTCAATCACATATGTGTAAGTTGCTATAGGACTGAAGAGTCGTTTTTTGACCAACTCATTTTTTAGTTCCACAATTTTGGCACGGAAAACATGAGCGATAAGATCTGGTCAATTTTGTGCTTATTCTGATTCATGTAGCTCTGCTTCGATTTCAAGCCAAGAACGGTTGCATGTCATTATTAGGAATATGCTAGGCTTTCCATATCGTTGTACTAATGTCATAGCTTCCAGATATCTTCGCTTCATATCTTAAGGGCCACCAATACAGGACGTTGGAAGGACTATGCGTTTACCTATGTTTGATGCTCTTGTTTCACCACTTGATACATTGTCGACTATTCCTTGATACAAGTCAGCACGAATAGTGTCTTGGTTAGCTCGTATGTAGTATAACCGAGTGCTTTCAATTTTTATGTATATGCCGACAATAAATTGCTATAGCAACTTGCCTGAAAGTAATATTGTCGATATTTCTGAAGGCCTAATTTGTAGCAGATAGCAGTAAAATTTGCAACATGAAATTCCTGATGCATCGCTCGTAACAGCATGTGAAGCTGTACGAAAAAAGATAGTTAGAATGGATGAAGGGTGGTTTTAAGCTTTCGGGTTTTTTTCCTCAATGAAATGATAATATAATTTCAATGAGTAGAGGATTTTTTACCTTCATTTTCTGAGGCTAACAATTCTGATGTGTTGGCAAAAATGCTTGTGTTGTCCAGTGGAATATTTTTCCTTCTCTTGTCACGTTACGGTGCCAGCCTATTTCACCATAAGGAAATAATAGAGGGTATTGAAGAGGGTCATAGCAGCCATGGTAATGCATAACTCGTTGGCTACCATTTGATTTTTTATGTACAAGAATGTCACGAGTCTTATTGTTTGTGGACTCTTCTTCAACCCATATTGCTGCAACTTGTGAAGCTGACGGTGCATTGTAGGCTCTTTGATCTAGGCAAGGATCTGCTTGAATGGCAATACTACATTCCTTATCAATATCAACATCTTTTAACCTGTACAAGAATTTTGCATAGGGATTTTCTAACAAAGTGCACATTATTCACTCGATGATATCTACACGTAATTGTGGTGCATTTTCCGAACGATGTTGCAATTCATGCTCAGTGTCATAGAAATAAAGTTGGAGGTATTTGGGTCTGGTGTTAGGTGGTTGTAAACTATTGATGTAGTGATATATTTGACCTTGAGCTCGAAAAGTATATATGTCATCCTTGTTGCAACCTTGCTATCAAGTTTGACACCCATAGATGTGAAGGCGAATAAGTTGTATGTTCGAATGGCTACTTTGAACATTCACACACTTGCCGTCGTTTCGACGCTTATAGATTGGGTAAGAGTTCTCACCACACTTGGTCACTTTTGAGAATTCTCGAGGGTATTTGTTCTTACATTCGCCTTTCTTGGTCATGCAAGGGTTTGTTTGCTTTAGAGCACCACAGGGGCCATGCATCATATGCTTGACAACTACCTTATACAAATGTGGGTTGTCATCTTTATTTGGTATCTCGGAAGAAATATATGTGTCATATTCTTCAGGGTGGATAATCTTTGCATGAGATTTCAAACCAACAAGAAATAGACATGTGGAAGGCCATGCTTTTGATATTCAATCACATATGTGTAAGTTGCTACAGGACCAAAGAGTTGTTTTTTGACCAACTCATTTTTTGGTTCCACAATTTTGGCACGGAAAACACGAGCGATAAGATCTGGTCAATTTTGTGCTTCTTCTGTTTCATGTAGCTCTGCTTCAATTTCAGGCCAAGAAGGGTTGCATGTCATTGTTAGGAATATGCCAGGCTTTCCATATCGTTGTACTAATGTCATAGCTTCCAGATATCTTCGCTTCATATCTTAAGGGCCACCAATAAAGGACGTTGGAAGGACTATGCGTTTACCTATGTTTGATGCTCTTGTTTCACCACTTGATACATTGTCGACTATTCCTTGATACAAGTCAGCACGAATAGTGTCTTGGTTAGCTCGTATGTAGTATAACCGAGTGCTTTCAATTTTTATGTATATGCCGACAATAAATTGCTATAGCAACTTGCCTGAAAGTAATATTGTCGATATTTCTGAAGGCCTAATTTGTAGCAGATAGCAGTAAAATTTGCAACATGAAATTCCTGATGCATCGCTCGTAACAGCATGTGAAGCTATACGGAAAAAGATAGTTAGAATGGATGTAGGGTGGTTTTGAGCTTTCGGGTTTTTTTCCTCAATGAAATGATAATATAATTTCAATGAGTAGAGGATTTTTTAGCTTCATTTTCTGAGGCTAACAATTCTGATGTGTTGGCAAAAATGCTTGTGTTGTCTAGTGGAATATTTTTCCTTCTCTTGTCATGTTACGGTGCCAGCCTATTTCACCATAAGGAAATAATAGAGGGTATTGAAGAGGGTCATAGCAGCCATGGTAATGCATAACTCGTTGGCTACCATTTGATTTTTTATGTACAAGAATGTCACGAGTCTTATTGTTTGTGGACTCGTCTTCAACCCATATTGCTACAACTTGTGAAGCTGACGGTGCATTGTAGGCTCTTTGATCTGGGCAAGGATCTGTTTGACTGGCAATACTACATTCCTCATCAATATCAACATCTTTTAACCTGTACAAGAATTTTTCATAGGGATTTTCTGACAAAGTGCACATTATTCACTCGATGATATCTACACGTAATTGTGGTGCATTTTCCGAATGATGTTGCAATTCATGCTCAGTGTCATAGAAATAAAGTTGGAGGTATTTGGGTCAGGTGTTAGGTGGTTGTAAACTATTGATGTAGCGATATATTTGACCTTGAGCTCGAAAAGTATATATGTCATCCTTGTTGCAACCTTGCTATCAAGTTTGACACCCATAGATGTGAAGGCGAATAAGTTGTATGTTCGAATATTTGCATGGAACTATTGGTTGTCCTCATCTTTGGATTTCATTAGGCGATATAAGGCTGGCGGTGGTTGGTTGCAAGCAAGTTGTATTTGACCTTGCGAACAACATAACCCTTTAGGCTCATATGGAAAAAGTGTTACACCATAAAATCTGCAAGAAGATGTTAGAAGTTGGAGGAAAAGGCATCCTATTTACATTTCTCTGTGTTCGTTCACAGCCTACCAACAACAATAATTGTTAGTATGTCAAGTCTTGATCAAAATGTTGTAGAATATATTAGAGGTCAAGTTTTCTGTTGTGGGAACATACGTTGATGCTTTTTGGTACAAGCTGTGGTTATCTTGCTATCAAATTTGTTCGCCTGATAGTTTAATGAATCTCTCGAATGGTCGATATATGAAGGAAGCATTCCTAGAATTATGATAGCAAGTGAAATATACAAGTAGGGTGTATTTTGACAAATGGTAAATAGTGTTTACACATTGGTATGGAAATATGAAGTTATAGAGTCATACGGATTGGGAAGTCATTTGATTCTGAAGAAGCTGCGATGCCACCAGTTGAGTAACTCCCATAGCAGAAATTTTCAATTAGGGCCACAACAGTTGAAGGCACATTTATATAACATTTGAATTAGATATTATAGATGAGAAGAAAAATCATAGAGCAGAGATACAAATATGTTTGGCTCTTCCCTGCGAAGGCTAGTCAGACAATAGGTTTGTAAGTTTGTTTACCCTATTGCATCTAATAACACGTTGTATACCTTTATCATTGTCAAACATTTTGTTGCATAATTGCTGTTCTTTTGCTCGTTGACGATTTTCCCTTCACTGTTGTAATAGTTGTTGCTTGCATTCACTTGTTAGTCTTGAACGGTATGCGCGCTAACGTTGGCTATTTTGTTCACGTTTACAAGCTGGGAAATATCAACTGGTTAATTGTGAACATATTGGTGACGCAAAGTATGTCGATGTAGTTATTTAGCATACCTTATTGTTCTTCAAATTGGCTTTCTCGAGTTTTGACTAAATGGTTATTCATATTGTTTGAGCTAAAGTCTCAAGTACACTTACATTTAATTATCAATTGTATAGCATACATTTACAATAACTCAATAATGAATTTGTTAAGCTAGTAAACAATTAGAAGCTAAACAAAGAAATACAATTTCAATTGAAGAAATAAATGCATGTTTAACAAGAGCTAGCCAAAGGGTCATATGTTAATTCTACCATGTCAACTTATTAAATGTTTAACTTGTAATATAGGATCCATTCGTCTTCAATGTTTAGGGTGCTATTAATGACTTCTTCTTTTTTTGGCATTTTCATTTTTTTAAAGTGCTTTATGTTTTTATAGCTATTTGAAGTTGAGAATATGATCTGCATTGTTGGAAGTGCGTTGCTTCAAAGTAGGGAAAAATCAGTTGTCAATTTTGTATGTTGTT